GTATCTTGGGCTGTGGAGGGAAGAGATCATTCAGGAATGGAAACAGTGAAGTACAGGGGAAGTTGTTGGCCTGATGAATAAGTAATTAAGAATCAGTCGTTCACTGTGTTTCTTGCCAGGGCCCTTAGAGACACAAAAATATTGCAATAGTGGCTCAATATGAGTGCAGAATTTTGCCTCTCCTCTCTTAGGTCTATGAGACTCTTCCTATCCAATTAGCTTCCCTGCTGGTCCATTGTTACCCCTTTCTCCCTCTGGAGATGACTTGGTTCTAGCCACCTGAGTCTGGAAATGGTGAAGGTTATGTCACTGAACTCTCCAAAACTACATAAGAAAGATTCATATTTGAACTTTGTATCTGGGTCCTGGCACTTAGCATGGTTCTCAACACATAGGAGGTTCTTCGTGAATATATATCATGTTACATTGTATTATGTTGCACCAGTGTATAGTCTTCTCTTAGTGTCAAAGGCAAGAAGCTATGCCCTTAAGACCAATGGAAAAGTCATCCAATCCATTCCCATTTGGTAGGGGAGGACAGCTCCTCATATGGCCCACAGATTGTGGTTGTCATGTTTCTGATTCTTCTTATCCTCTATTCAACAGTTTATACAGATGATGGGGGGACAATGCACTTTCTACATATCATTCTTTGATTTTAATGTTTGGTAAACTACCACTCAGGTGTATTCAATTACTGCCTTTGGTAATTAAGTGTTAGGATAAAAACTGAGCTTCTTTACTCTCACTCAAACATTGTTGCTTTAGTAGAAGACAGAATTATGAATATGATAAATAGTTCATTCTTTTTCTACATGATTTTGATTTCTTCCACTAGGTTACTATATTTAAAGAGCTTTTCATTCCATGCAGATTGAAAGTTAAGGGAATTGGTATGGTGACATCTACTAAAAACATTCTTAAAATTGCATCAGTAAACATTGTATTTTAGAGATTTGGGGCAATAGTTTTGTCTTTAATGATGTTTTAGTTTCAGTACAATTTGTTGAAAGTTAATGGATTTGGGGGTATATTTGTAGTACACTTGTAGTATAAGAATTTGTTATCTTTGAAGTTAGATGGGTAGTGTGGCATAATGTATAGAGAACTGGCCTTACAGGTATGAAGACCTGTTCAAGTCCTGCCTCTTTCACATACTGGACTTGTGATGCAGGTCAAATCACTTAACTTCTCAGTGCTCAAAGCAATTTTGTAAGAAAGCTGCAAAATACATGCACCAAATGATACAGCATCCAAATTTTTAAAAAATTTAAATGTTACAGGTGAAAATAGTAAAACTATATTAGTGGACCAAAACTGATGGGATGCAGCCAAGGCAGTTATTAGGAGAAAATTTATATCTCTAAACATTTATATCAATAAACTAGAAAAAGAGCAGATCAATGAATTGTTCATACTCTCTACAAAAAAAAAACTAGAAAAAGAACAAATTAAAAATTCCTAATTAAACACCGAATTGGAAATCCTAAAAATCGAAGGAAAGATTAATGAAATTTAAAGTAAAAAAAACTATTGAATTAATAAATAAATCAAGGAACTGCTTTTGTGAATAAAAATAGACAAACCATTGGTTAATTTTATTTTAAAAAAAGAAAGAAGGAAACCAACTCACCAATATTGAAAATGAAATAGGTTATTGTACCACCAATGAAGAGGAAATTAAGCAATTTTAGGAAATATTTTGCCCAATTACATGACAATAAATTTGGTAACTAAGCAGAATTGATGAATATTTGCAGAAATATAAATTTCTTAAACTAGGAAAAAAGGAAATAGAATATGTAAATAACCACATAGTAGAAAAAAAGAAATTGAACAACCCATCAATGAACTCCCTAAGAAAAAATCCCTAAGACAAGTGAATTCTACCAAATATTTAAAGAACAATTAATTTCAATACTATATAAACTATTTTGAAAAATAAGGAAAGAAGTCTTACCAAATTTCTTTTACAACATAAATATGGTGCTGATAACTAAACCAGGAACAGCAAAAACACAGAGAGAAAACTATAGACCAATTTCCCTAATATTGATGCAACATTTTAAAATAAAATACTAGCAAGGAGATGAGATTATAGCAATATTTCATAAGGATCATACACTATGACCAGGTGGTATTTATACCAGGAATGTGGGGCTGGCTCAATATTAAGAAGAATATCAGCATAATTGACCACATCAACAACAAAACCAACAGAAATCATATGATGATCTCAATAGATGAAGAAAAAGCTTTTGAAAAAATACACCCATTCCTTTTAAAAACACTGCAGAATATAGGAATAAATGGAGTTTTCCTTAAATAAGTAGTATTTATCTAAAACCATCAGCAAGCATTCTCTGTAATGAGGATAAGCTAGAACCCTTCACAATAAAGTGAGGGGTGAAGAAAGATGCAAATTTTCACCACTATTGTTCAATATTATACAAGAAATGCTAACTATAGCAGTAAGAGAAGAAAAGGAAATCAAAGGAATTAAGATAGGCAATAAAGAAACAAAACTATAACTCTTTGCAGATGATATGGTGGTATACTTAGAGAATCCTAGAGAATCAACTAAAAACTACTTAAAAATATTAAAAACTTTAGTAAAGTTGCAAGATATAACATAAACCCACAATAATCATTGGCTTTTCTACATATTAGCAACAAAGTCTAACAGCAAGAGGTAAAAAGAGAAATTCCATTTAAAATAATGATAGACAATATAAAATACTTGGGAGTCTATATGAACACAATTACAAAAACCTTTTACACAAAGAACATCAGATCTAAACAATTTGTAAAATATCAGTTGCTCATGGGTAGACTGAGCCAATGTAACAAAAATGACAATTCTACGTAAATTACTTATTTGGTGCCATACCAAACTACCAAAAATATTTTATAAAGCTGGAAAAAAATAACAAAATTCATCTGAAAGAACAAAGATAAAAATATCAAGGGAATTAATGAAAAACAATATGAAGAAAGGTGGCCTAGCCATACCAGATTTTAAACTGTAATAAAAAGTGGCAATCATCAAAACAATCTAGTACTGGCTAAGAAATAGAGTGATAGATCAGTGGAATATATTAAGTATACAATGCATTGTTGTAAATGATCATAGTAATCTAATGTTTGATAAACCCACAGATCCAAGCTTTTGAGACAAGAGCTTACTATTTGACAAAAACCTCTGGGAAAGCTATAAAACAGTTTGGCAGAAACTAGCTGTAGACCATTTCACTTTGTACGCCAAGAAAAGGTGAAATTGAGTACACGATTTAGCTATCAAGGCTGAAACCATGGGCAAATTAAGGGAGCATAAAGTAGTTTACCTGTCAGATCTATGGATAATCAAAGAATTTATGACCAAACAAGATACAGAAAGCATTAAAATGTAAAATGGATAATTTTTATTATATTACATTAAAAATGCTTTAACTAACAAAACCAAATGCAACCAATATTGGAAAAAAGTAGAAAGCTGGAGAATTTTTTTATAGCCAGTGTCTCTGATAAAGGCCTCATTTATTAAATATATAGAGAACTCAGTCACAAATGTAAGAAGACAAATCATTTCCAAATTGCTAAATGACCCAAAGAATGTGAACAGTTTTCAGATGAAGAAATCAAATGTATCTATAGTCATGTGAAAAAAATGTTCTAAATCACTACTGATTAAAGAAATTAAAATTAAAACAACTCTGAGTTACCACTTCACATCTATCAGGTTGGCTAATATGACAGCAAAAGAAAATGATAAGTGTTGGAATGGATGTAGGAAAATTGGAATGTTAATGGTGGAGTTGCAAAATGGTGGGGTCGGTGGAGTTGTGAGCTGGTCCATCATTCTGGTGATTAATTTGGAACTGTGCCCAAATGATTATGAAACTCTGTATACCCTCTCATCCAGCAAGACCACTAGTAGGTCTCTATCCAAAAGAAATAATAAAAGGAGGGGAGGGACCTATTTGTACAAAAATATTTATAGGAGCTCTTTTTGTGGTGGAAAAGAATTGGAAATTCAGGGGATGTCTGTCAATTAGGGAATGGTTGAATAAGTTGTTGCATATGACTATAATCAAATACCATTGTGCTATAAGAGATGATGGGCAGATGATTTCAGAAAAACCTGCACTTATGTGAACTGAAGCAGAGTGAAGAAAACAGAATCAGGAGAACATTGTGCATAGTCAGCAATGTTATACAAGGATAAACTGTGAATGTTTTAGATATTCTCAGCAATAAAATAATCCAAGACAATTCCAAAGGATTCATGATGAAAAATCCTATCCACCTCCAGAAAAAGAAAATGATGGAGTCTGAATGCAGATAGAAGAGTACTATTTTTAACTTTATTCTTTGTGAGTTTTTGGGTTCATTTTCTTTTACAACATGGCTAATATGGAAATATGTTTTACATGATTGCACAGGTATAACATATCAAATTGCTTACTATCTCAAGGGTATACAGTATGGTGGAGAGGGATATAGGAAGAGCAGATGGAACTTGAAGATTTTAAAAAATTAATATTAAAATTATTTTTACATGCAATTGGGATAAAAAAAGTTGTTTCTTTAAAAAAATTGCAGAGATGCTAACCTCCATTAGGAAAGGGAGTTTCCTCAGCTTGGAGTTCTCTATACCAATGAAATCCCAGGTCCTGTCCCAATGACAATTTATTAATGCTAATGAACTTCTGGTGCACAATTACAGCCATGACAATGTCTTTCTAGATATTAAGGAAGTTCTATAGTGTTATGTTGTATGGTTACTTTGACTTCATCATTACCACCATTTGCATAATCATTATTATCAATTGTACAACAATAATAGGAATAGCAGAAGTCACAGCAAGAGCAGTGACAGTATTCATATTATTGAGTTTTAGGTCTACTATCTCAAGAACATACTAACTACATCTGGAAAAATCTCATCACCAGGTTGGCTTCAGGGTAATGAATTTTTCAGCCACAGCTACTATCAAAGACTGTCTAAGGAGTACCCACACCAGTAAGATCACAGATAGAGTACTGAAGTACTATTACTGCTACCAAGCCAATCTAAACCAGACATCAATCATACAGATATGTGGGTTAATTGTCAACTTTTGATTCTAAGACTGCAAAGAGAAAGGAAGAATAATCTCCCCAAATTGGTAATTCCAATGCTTAGAAATTTATTGTTCAAGTGATCAAAATTTAATTAAGTGCCCACTATGTGCCAGGAACAGGGTTAAATGCTAAAGATACATGAAAAAGAAAAGAAAAAAATATATAATCCAGCTACTCAGTGAACTCACAATGCAAGGAGGGAGGCAACATGGAAACAACTATGTAGAAACAAACTACTTACAAGATAAATTGGAGGTAATCAATGGAGATAATGCATGAACATTAAGGGGATTAAAGATTATTTTCAAATGGGCAATGGTTTGGTGGAAATAAGTATCAAGGAGCTGATAATTAGAGACTAACAAATTAGAGGAAAAGTATAGACCACTCATTAAAACAAAAATTCTAGCAGTGATGTGAGGGAGAAAAATGCAACTCTAGCAGAATGGGGAAGAAGGGTATAAAGTAGCGTTCATAGCGTGGGGGAAACCTGAAAACTAATGGAAAGGGATTGATGATGGAGGAAATTCCCAGAGGAGGTTTAAACATGTCCTTGTTCATTTTAGCCATACCTTTAGTGACTTGGTAACTTTCATATTCCCTCTTCTGCTTTAATAGTTTATACTTATTTTTGGATTATTTTGTTTGTATTTCTGTGGTTTTCTTTAGCTCTGCAATGATGAAACCTAGAGTGGCATCCTGGATTTCAGGAATAGACATATCATAACTTCATACCCAGATAAGGTAAAGTTTTAAATTTGTTTCAATCAATCTTGCATGACAGCATTAAAAAGTGGAGAGGACCAAAAGTCAAGATACCTGGATTTTAGTTGTAGTTTTGCCACAAATTTAATCATGTGAACTTGACCAATTTATTCCTTGTCCAATCACTTTGTCTATAAAATGAGGTTATGGTTGTTTCCATTCAATGCAATCATTTCAGTATTCAGTGCCTTGGACCAGTAGGCCAAAGCCAAACATATATGGTAAATAGCAGTTTGAGTGCCAAAGACAGAAACAGAGCTTCAATTATTAAGAAAGAACTATTAAAATGAAGTAATTTAATCTTCTTACTGTGAGACTATAAACACCAGGAGTTTATCTTATTCAAAAGTAATATATCTAATTACACATATTTAGATATGAATGTTTGTCCATGTACATATGAATGTGTGGATGTGTGTTTATATACATGTGTACACAAATATATACTGTGGAAGTAGAGTTAAGAGGACTTAGTAACTAATTAAATATAGATATGAGAAAGAGAGAAGACATAAAATAAATAGCAAAATCAGGACATTGTTTGGGAGGAAAAAGATTGGCCTTGCTTTGGATATATGTTGTGTGGTAAAAACTAGCAAGATAACCAGGTGAATATGTCCTGTACAAGATCTCAACAGAGAGATCCAGGACACCGATCTGTATTTGGCAGTCAACGGCATATAGGTAATTCTTGAAGTGATGTAAGTAGTTAAAGCCTCAAAGACATAAAAGGTCCAATATTTAGAACCTGAAAGGACTTCAGAAGCAATTGGGTCCAAAGTCTCATTTTATAAATGAAGTCACTGCGGAGGCCCAGAAAGACTAAGTGATTTACTTAGTCACATGGCGAGGAAATATCTTCCGTGGGATTAGAACCCAGACTTCCATTTTAAGTATCAATGCCATATATATGTATGGATAAATATGTATTTGAATGTACAATTCTATATGCTATATGTGTGTGTGCGTATGATATGTATATGTGGGAATGGTCCACCCTGGATTACTGCCTTGTTGTGGGGGCGAGGCTTGCGTAGCTCAATGAACACAGGCATATATGGATTTGCGCACACACACACACATACATACGTACATGCATACATACATATATGTATGGTATATGTAGACAAATATATTTATGCAGATAGTGCACTTACATTTACATTATCTATCTCTATTTCTACTGCTATCTTTATTCACACTTCATTCCTCCACCCTCCCAAAATACAAACTCTCTTCCACTTTGCTAGCTGAGTTAAGTTAGATCAATATTATTAACACTTTATAAGGGTCTGATAGATAAGGTTCCATAATCATGCTTCCTCTTGTGGAACATTGATGTTCTAAGCAAACCAAAAGAATTACTGTCCCTCAGGTAACTCCTACACCTGTCTGTGAAGTTCATTCTATCTATCTATCTATCTATCTATCTATCTATCTATCTATCTATCTAACCTTCATCCATCTATATATTCATATACATTGTGTCAACATGTATATGTATACTCATATGCATGTATATTGTGTATATTTAATATATGTATGTGTTTTGGCTCCATAGTCTTTTGTAATTAAATATTACCTACTCTACCATCTCTTAAATTTAATTTGTTCCTTTTGAATAAAACATTTTCCATTTGGAAATTTATGTACTAGAGTAGGGAGGGGTGATGGATATCCTTTTTTTCAGGGTGATTGGAAAGGAGAACAGAAGCAATAATGAGCTGACTGTATTACAAAAGCTTTCCTCATCAAAAGGAGGCAATGGATAATGAATCCATATCATCATTCATTCAACAAGCATTTATTAAGGATCTACAGGGCACCAGGTGCTGAGAGCGGGGTATATAGAAACAAATAAGAGAACAAATAACATCAACAATAGCAACAACCAGTTCTTGCCCATGAGGATCACACATTATTTTATTGGGAGGAAGTCATGTGTACATAGATAATAAAAAGTGACATGTATGGAAAGCAGATACAAAGCAGACACAAAGGGATGAGAAGGTAGACCAGGAAGGGCCTCATGTAGAAGTTTGGCATACATGTCAATCCTGATGGTGGCCATATTTTAGGGAAAATATTGACAACTTGGAATCCTTCTAAAAGAGAGTGACCAATATGATGAGAAATCAGGAGATCATGCTATTCAAGGACTGGATTTAAGTAGGCTTAACAAGTTTAGCCTAAAGAAAGAGTGATTTCAAACATTCTCACATAGAAGAGGGAAAGGAATTGTTCCGTTAGATCTAAGAGGTGAAAGGAATAAACATTTATATAGCACCTACTACATTCCAGGCACTGTGGTTAGCACTTTACAAATATTATCTCATTTGATCCTCACAAAGACCCTGAGAGGCAGGTGCTAATATTCTTATTTTACAATTGAGAAAACTGAGGCAAACAAAGGTTAAATGAATTGCCCAGGATCACACAACTGGTAAGTATCTGAGGCGAAATTTTAAATCAGAATTTTCTGACTCCAGGCCCAGTGCTTTATTTACTGTGTTACTTAATTTACCTAGAAGTGAGTGTAAGTTTTATGAGTGACTTAAGGGAAAAAAATTCCTAATGATTGGTAGGGTCCCAAACTGCAATGGGATAGCTTAGCAGGTAAAGATTTTTCCATGTCACTTGAGGTCTAGAGACTAGAGAACTACTTGTCAGGGATGTCATAGAGTTATCATGTATCCTTGTGTATAGTAAGTACTTAAAAAGCTTGTTGAATGCATGATTGAATTCATCAATATCCAAGTACCAGCTGGATTGGATAAAATCTATTTAATATTATGCACTAAAGTTCAAAATCGACTGTGGAAGTCCAGGATAGATTATATGTGACAACAGTGTATTTTAAAAAGGACTTGGATTTTAGGAGACGATAAGCCAGAAGTCATTATTAGTATGACATAGTGATCCAAAAAGCTAATAAATTTTGAAATTGTATCACATTAACAAAAGTGTAGGTTTTATAAGGAAGGAAATGTTAGCCTTGCTGAACTTGTCCATCATCTTAGTGCTACTGAATATTGTATTCAATTCTGGGAACCAACAGCAACATTTTTTTTTTTTGGATTTCAGCAAAACTTTTTATAAGGGCTATCATGCCTTTGTAAGCAATCCATAAAAAATATGGGTTAGATGATAGTAGGGTTAGGTAAGCTTGGATCCAGTTAAATAAGAAGAGTCAAAGCAGAGAGCTTCCAACCTTCCTCAGCCATATTTCCAGCCTCCCAGGTTCATAACCCCAGGATCAGCCTCAATTTCCCTAACCCTACCTATCCAATCAGTTGTCAAATCTCGCCATGTCTACCGCAACAGCAACAATTTTAAAAGCCATATATATACACAGTATTTTGGTATGTGCTAGAGAAGATACAAATGACTTAGTCCCTCACCTCAAGGAGTTTATGGTGCAAATGATGTACAAGCAATCCCATCACACACAAATATTATATCATAAATGCATTAGAGAAATACAAAAAAGAGAGAACTACAAAAAGTGAGAGAGGGAAAATTATCAAATGCAAGGAAGGTTTTTGGTTTTGTGTTTTTGAGGAAGTTGAAATTTGAGTTAATTTTCCAAGGGTGATTACGAATTTAACAGGCCTTGAAAGGGCTAGGGAGAGGGAATTCAGGGCTAACAGAACTCTTGGATAAAGGCATGGAACTAAGAGATTTCATCATGTTTCAAGGGAGAGAAAGAGATGCAGTGTGGTTGGTTTAGTAGTCATACAAGATTAGTCTGGAAAAGTACAGAATTGCTAGAAGATGAAGGGGCTCAAATGGTAGGTGGAGGCATTTGGACTTTTTTTTTTTAGTAATAAGCCACTGGATATTTTTTAATTCTGGTGTGTTATGACTACAGCTATGTATAAGACAGATTTTTGCAATCATGAGAAAAAAATGGACCATTGAAAGGGAAGACAGTGGAGGAAAGAAGATCTATAGTTTTGCCATTACAATAGCCTACATGGGTGTAGATCAAGTCCCCTATCACTGTGATGCCAATGAAATTAGAAAGGACAGATATGACATCATAGGTTTAGAGCTAGAAGGGTCCTTAAAAGCAGTGGAATCCAACTCCCTCATTTTAAATATGAGAAAAATTAAGATGAAGACTTGTCCAGGGTCACACAGCTAGTAAGTGTATGAGGCACAATTTGAACTCAGGTCTTTCTGACTGGAAGTCAAGAAGACATATATTCCTAAGTTCAAATCTGGCTTCATACACATACTATCTGTGTGACACTGGGGAAGTTGCTTAATCTTGTTTGCCTAAGTTTCATCATCTGTAAATGAACTAGAGAAGGAAATGACAAACCACTTCAGTGGTTTAGCTAGTGGTTTAGTCCAGTTCTTAGTGAAGAAAGCAATCTTAAGTTGCATAGAAGGTGCCTACCTGTATTGGTAGATTGTATTTTGTCATTTCAGAATACTTCTTCCTAATGAATGTGGGTTCACAAAGAGTCAGACTCATGACTGATAGTCCACCATTCTTTACATTGTATTATTTTGTGTGTGTGTGTGTGTGTGTGTTTGTGTGAGAGAGAGACAGAGAGAACATTTCCCTTTCTATGCTATTATCCACAACGGCATAGAACAGATCCTCTATTTCTTTTACATTCTTCCCAGTGTCTAGAACAGGGCTCAAGTCACATCCAGCATGCCTGAAAATATTTTGACTCACTGATAAAGCAGTTAAATGCCCAAGCTCACATTTATTTAGAGTGGATATAGACTGTAGCACAGTAGAAAAGAACTGAGTGTCTTAAGGTAGCTGATTCTGACCCATCTCTCCTACTTCCTCAATTGCCCCATTAACTTTATCCCCTTTTCTGATCTGGAAGAGATCAGGGGAAGGAGAGGAAATAGCAGCTAATGACCCATAGGTGTCAAATAGTACCACATCCTTGAAGGATTATTTCTGAAAGATACAGGGGAAGGAGAGGATAGGGAAAGACAGCAAATGGAGATACTTCCCTTGTCAGATTCTCTTGAATAGTAAAAGTACACAGAAGATTTTAACGTTTTTCTTTTATTTCCTCAGGACTCCAGAAGGAGATGGTGAATTATCTCTCTGGATGGAGGATATTTCAGAAACGATCATGGTCTTTGGTAGCCCCCATAAAAATGCCCTCTTTGAATGATACAGAATTCCATCCTTCCTTCTTCCTGCTTCTAGGAATCCCAGGGCTGGAAGGTGCACACATCTGGCTTGGCTTCCCCTTCTGTGCCTTATACTTGGCTGCATTCATGGGAAATATCACCATCCTGTACGCAATTCAGACTGAACGAAGCCTCCACCAGCCCATGTTCTACTTCCTGGCCATGCTGTCAGGAATTGACTTGAGTTTGTCCACAGCTACCATCCCCAAGATGCTGGGAATTTTCTGGTTTAACTTGAAGGCTATTGAATTTGGAGCCTGTGTCACCCAAGTGTTCTTTATCCATTTTTTCACAGTCATGGAGAGCATTGTACTGCTGGCCATGGCTTTTGACCGCTATGTTGCTATTTGCAACCCCCTTCGCTATACCATGATCCTTACTCACAAAACCATTGGTTTCATTGCTCTGGTGGTTTTCCTAAGGAGCTTGTTTATGATAGCTCCTATTGTATTTCTCCTGCTTCAACTCCCTTACTGTGGGCACAGAGTCATCCCCCATACCTACTGTGAGCATATGGGTGTGGCTAGATTGGCCTGTGCCAGCATCAAAGTCAATATCTATTTTGGGCTGGGAAATATTTCCATATTATTTCTGGATGTGCTTCTGATCATCATTTCTTATGCCAGGATACTCCAGGCTGTCTTCCACCTCCCCTCCTGGCATGCTCGACTCAAAGCACTCAATACCTGCAGCTCCCACATCTGTGTCATCTTAGCCTTCTTCATGCCAGCTCTATTCTCCTTCCTCACTCATCGTTTTGGCCACAACATCCCCCATTACATCCACATCCTCCTGGCCAATCTCTATGTAGTTGTGCCTCCTGCCCTCAACCCTGTCATCTATGGGGTCAGGACCAAGCAGATACGGGAGAGAGTTTTGAAGATTTTCTATAAAAAACAATGACATGATAGAAACAAGGATGTCTCAGTGGTACCTTTTTTCATTCTACCACAGTAAATGAGCCTACCTGAAAACTCAAAGAGGTGATGTGGCATGCTGAATAGAGAGCTGACCTCCGAAATGGGAAGATTTGGGTTCAAATTTCACATCCTAGCTCTGTGGCTTTGGCCATTTTTCAGTGCACCAGGCAGATGCCTAACAATCTTAAGTTGCATAGAAGGTGCCTATCTGTATTGGTAGATTGTATTTTATCATTTCAGAATACTCCTTCCTAATGAATTTTTTTAAAAGAATAGCTTTAAAACTCTCCTAGTAGGTACTGATAACATGCTTGTGTATGGATCTGAGTGTCTCTTTGATGGAATGTATGTATAAATGGGTTGGTTTATGGGTGGGTAAGTCTAAGTAGGATTGAAATGGCTGAGGAAACAAAGGTTCGATTTTCTGAGCATACCAGTTTACTAAGCAATGCATACCAATTACCTAACAAATTGGGACCAAGCCCTCTCAGCTTTGGCACTGGACTCTGAATACAGGGAGAGACAGATTTTTATGCATTAAAAATAATCAAAGAAAGCCAATTAATTAAAAGAAAACAATTCACCAGGGTACAAGATTAAATAATATGATTTTTAATTGCAGGAAAGATTAGAAACTTTCCAAGCTGGGATGAGGAGAATGAGTAGATGCAATTACCTGAAATCAGAAAAAAGAGGTGTCCTCCTCCCCTCAATTAAAGGAACATGGGAACAGTAACTGATTGACCAGTAAGAGATCAGTTTTGAGATAAGACATATGAGCTGCTTGAGCTGTATAATTGTGAGAAAACTCCTTGCATCAGTCTTCAGATATGTTTGGGTTTCCTGTCAGCATAACCTAGGTCTCTAAGCAGCAGGCAGAGGTGGTCCAGTTTTCCAGCCATGCAGGGCTAGGTTAGAACAAGACAATAAAGTTTTCTCTTAATTCCCACAATTGAATAAAGTTTTTCACAAGAGAGAAATTAGACTAGACCCATAATTGATTGGAAAGGGAACTGAACTAGCTCCACAACTGAGTCACAAGATGGAGTCAATGTGGTTCATTCTCTTCCCACTACCACTTGCTCTTCTAATTCCCTCACCTGGACAAAGATTCTTCACTTCAGACCACTCTGATAGAAGTGATAAAATGGAGTAATATGGTGTCAGAATGAGAAGCAATTTGTGAATTTAGTCCTAGCAGTACCTGTGCAGGTATCCCCTCTATAGGGTCTTAGGCAAACAGTCATCCACCAAACACTCAAAGAACACTATGAATAGAGAAGCACCTTCTCAGGAAGTCTATTTTACCTTGAGATAGGTCTCACCATCAGAAAAAATTAATTACATTATACTGAAATCCAGAACTACCACCAATTGTTCTCAGGGGGACTATTTTTCCCTCTGGGGCCAAGCAGAAAAAGTTTAATCTCTTTTCAACACAGCAGCCCTTAAATCATAAAATAATAGATTTAGGGTTGGAAGGGACCATTTGAAGTCATGGACTCCACTCTTGTCATTTGATATATGAAGAAATTAAAGGGAGTTGAAATGCCTTGGCCAAGGTCTCAAAGCTAGTAATCAGTAGAGCCAGGATTCCATCATCTCCTCTGATTCCAAATCCAACACTTTTTACTGTACCTTGCTGCTTCCTATTACATTCTATTACATCATGGCCACTGCCCAGGTCCACAATGACTGAATTGCATTGCAATTTAGCCTATATCTTTCTATCTTGTTAACAAGATTTTTTTGAGAGATTTTAAGTGTCTTCCTAACATTTTTCACAGCCTGAAATACAGGTATATTATTTTTATGGAATTCTCATAATGACTAAATTACTAAATCAATCAATTTATCAGTAAATAAGCAAATGAATAAATAAATGGATAAATGGATAAATGAATAAAATAGATAAATAGATAAATGAATCAATGAATAAATTTAGTAATACTATGACAAAAAGAAATAGAATTACTCCTGTTATCATAATTACAATCCCATAAGAATATTTTAATGAATCCATGTTAGCTTGGAGTGATTATTTGTTCTCTTTTTATCTGTTCACAAACTATTTCTCCAATTTTTTAAAAATCAACCATTGGTCAACTTTAACATTCTTTGTTACTTTTACTTTGTTCTGATCTTTAGTATTCTTCACATTATTTTCATCTAACTGTATCATTCTTGTTTTCATCCACAGTTTGCTTCCAATTTTTATTGATAGGCTTTAAAAATTGGATTTAGTCAATAAGTTCCCTATGCAGTCACAGTCTTTTTAGGCAGTTTTCCCTTTCCTTCCTCATTGGAATTATTTTCATTTGTGTTATCAGAATTTAATTATAGATAGGCTTCTATCCCATCCAAATTTCCCAGTAGAATCTGGGGCCAAGAGAAAAAGCTCTGAATACCACAGTTTGAGAAGGATGTTATTAAACTGGAAAGTGTCCAAAGGAGGGCAACCAGGAAGGTGGAGGGCCTTGGGTCCATGACAGATGAGTATCAGTTGAAGGAACTGGGAATGTTTAGCCCAGAGAAAAGAAGACTGAAGGGGTAAGGTCACATGACAGCTATGTTTAAATAAATTTGAAGGGCTGTCATACCAAAGAGGGAGTTGACTTACTCTATAGTTCCAGAGGACTGAACCAGGGACAAGGAGTGGAAGTTGCAAAAAAGCAAATTTAGTATTGATGTAAAAAAAAAATGGTAAGGTGTTATAGGAGACACATTTTTATGTATTAGCTGGACTACATTGTCACTGAAGTTCCTTCCAAGTCTCAAATTCCATGATTTTTGATCCTAGTCTTTCATAGAATATTTGAAATCTCATCTCCCAATAGTCATGTAATCTCCCTAGAATAATAATGATAATCTCCTTAAAATATGAGATTATTAGCAAGATAAATTAATCATTTCTTAACTTTTCTGCTTATAGTATAAAATACCTTGACATCTTTCTGGATATTTAAAATCTCTTAAAATGACTATATCCTGTCCCAGTATTGGTTTTGTGATGTAATTCTTTAAATCTCTATTTTGTCATTCTAGTTCAGTGATCAACAATAAACACTCACCACAATAACACCTGTTTCTCTTTGACTTAATTCTCTCCTTGGTATCTCCATAATGCTTCCCCTTCTTATGCATGGATTTTTTTTTTCCTAATAGGGACATATGTGGTGCTACTAACACTCCTCCTCCACCTCCACCACCACTTTCATCTGACTTGCTCTTTTTGCATAAGTTATATTTTCACATTGTCATATTTTAGTAATGTATCATACTCCACTAAGGTCTTAATAGTAATTATGAAGTAGCATTTACCTCCTTCCCTTAAAATATTTAACTTATTTTAAAAAAAAATTTATTCACCAATAACAGAGACCATGAATATTGTTACAGCCTTTTTTCTAATGGAATCTCCTGACTTTGCTCATTTCTTTTACTACAGCTTTGTTGTATCTACTTATATCTTTGCCATTTGGACTTAGCAGTTTAACATGGGTAATTGCCTCCTCTCTTTGTGATTTTCAATTAAAAACCTGATGAAATTTTCAAAAATACAAATTCTTCATATCCCTGATGTAATAGGTAAATTTTGAAATAAATGAATTATTCATAATCCTAACTTTGTCTAGGGAAAGTCTGTTTACTAGAAGTAGTCTGAGGTAGAACTGAATTCTCTCCCTTGAAAGATTTCCTTGAAGATGCTTGGATTTGCTTTGGGTCCTGTTTGGTAAAATGTATTTAAGGGAAAGAGTTATGGGGGACTCAAGGAAAGATGAGAACTGGTAAATGAAAAAAATAAGAATCTGATGAACGACTAACCTTTGCTTCTCAGGAAACTCACTGCTTTAACTTTGGGTAGAGCTAGGATTGGAGCAGAAGTCCTTTATTTAGGTTTTTTCTTGCACCTGTACAATTTTTTATCCCACAAATACAATGGACCTTTCTTAATTCCCTTTTGACACACCCTTCCTTATTAACTTCAGGATTGCTTGCTTGATCTCCTGGGTTCGGACCCCATAGACAATGGGGTTGAGAGCAGCTGGGATGACATGGTGCAGAACATTGAGCAAGATTGGTACATCAGGAGAAACTCTCTTCTTGGCTACGTGGGTGAGAATAAAAACCAGCAGGATGGTGCTGAAGAAGAGAATGAGGATGAAGTGGGAGCCACATGTACTCAGGGCCTTGACTGCAGCACTTTTAGCCTTTAGCTGAAGAATAGTACATAGGATGAACATATATGAAAGGAAAATAAGGATGAGATCAGAACCAAGCATAGTCCAGCCAGCAATGAATTGGTAGAGGCGATTGAGAGTAACATTATCACAAGAAAGTTTGGACACTGACAAGTTGGCACAAATACAATTCTCAATGATATTATGCTGACAGTAGTGTAGCCGAGCAGACAGAATAGGGATGGGCACAGTGGCAAGAGCATTCCGGGCCACTACGAAAATGGCAGCCTTGGCAACAAATTGATCAGTAATTACAGATGGGTAGCGCAGTGGGTGGCAGATAGCGACATATCTATCATATGCCATTATCAGGAAGGTACAAGACTCCATGGCCAGGAAGCAGTTCATGATATACATCTGGAGGAAGCAGGCAGAGAAGCTTATGGGTCTGAGATCAAACCAGAAGATGAGCAGGACTTTGGGGATGACAGTGAGGCAGAGCACGATGTCCAGCAGGGAGAGAAGGCTGAGCAGGTAGTACATGGGCTCATGCAGACAGGCCTCCAGTCGGATGGTGATTAGGAGGGTGGCATTGGCCCCCATGGCCAGGAGGAAAAGCAAGCTCAGGGGCAGAGAGAGCCAGTGCTGCCAACTTGGAGATCTAACAAAACAGTTCAGGAGAAATTCGGAGACCTCAGTGGAAGAAGAGCTGTTGGGAAGCAGCATTGTATATAGTCCTCTGGTATATGTCTTCTCTGAGTTCTTGTGGGGAAAGGAAAGAGTTAATGAATAAAATGTGTAAAGGTCTAGAGGACAAGCAAGGAATCAACCAGTAAGCCTTTATTAAGTGCTGTTACTTAGCAGTCACAGTTCTGAGTGCTAAGAATATAAAGAGAGAAATGAAAATCTTTGCCCTCAAGAAGTTACATTCTGTTGGGGGAGAAAGTATGCACATACATGGGTATATGCAAAACATAAATTCTTAAATGAATCTATAATGTCATTGAGTAATATTCTGAAGTGTAGATCTCAACCTATCATGTACACATATACACACATGTATTTTTTGTGTGTGCACATGCACATGTGTATTTACAAACATGAAGATGTATGGGGCAGCTAGGTGACGCCGTGGATAAAGCACTGGCCCTGGATTCAGGAGGACCTGAGTTCAAATCTGGCCTCAGATACTTAACACTTACTAGCGGTGTGACCCTGAGCAAGTCACTTAACCCCATTGCGTAGCCAAAACAAAACATAAAGACATACTACATTAGAGATATATACACAAATAATATACATAAACACATTCACATACATATAT